AACCTCATTTTATCTTCGATATTAAACACTAATGAGAAAACGAGAATAACACGAAGGATAAACGCACCCCTTTGTAATATGTTGATATCCGATCGTGAATAGAATCAACTTGAACGATGAGTGTAATTAATTGTTTGAGACGACCATCAAGTAAAGCATGAACATCATCAAAACTATTTACATTGATACATAATTTAGTGAGTGACGAAGAAAAAAAAGTCGTTGGTGATAAATCACACAACGATAAACGTGGATAATTGTCGATAGATGATGACTCAACAATAGTCAAATGCTTTAAGTTTTTAAAGAAAGCTAAGATAACTGCATAAACATTCTTGGTATATGCTTCTTTTTTTATTTTTTCAATATTGTTTTCATTAATGACAAGAATGAGATTCGTAATTTGTTGTTTACAAATATGTCCAAAGAGAGAATCATCTAAACAAAAAACATAGATATTGTTAAAAAATGTGAGCATTTCAATATTTTTCTATGCTTATCTTTTAAAACATCAGTATACATGAATATCTTACCCATAAAATAACGTGAAACAATTGTTTTGTTGAAATTAAAAAGTTTAAGTTCAGTAAGGTTAGGATAGTTACCAGCACGAAGAATATATTCCATCGAATTGGAATCAACAATGAGAGATTTGATATTTTTATAAATTATTGGTAATATTGAAGTACAAAATCGATTGAGTATTGTTGAAAAAATCTCATCAGTTGATTGTGATATGGAAACAAAATTAAGGATGTTAGTGAAGATTTGTTCTTGTGCTATAATATGAAGTCGTTGATTGTTGATACCCAATAAAGAATAAAGAACATGAATATTGTCAAGTTTTTTCAAAATGAAAAATAATATTTCATTAGGTAGATCAAGAAAATGAACATTATGCTGATTCATGTTTAAATGTGGTTGCAACACCTATCGTAACACGATATATATACTTATCTACTGATTCTTTGTTCATAAACACTCTCCTCATTGGAAAAAGAAGGTTTCCTTCTTTGTTGAATGAAGAAATAAAATATTTTTGTATAGTCGAATATCTTCACAGACGAATGTTTCTCTTTTTTTTTTCGTTTATTTATTTCTATATTAATATGATCGGTGTGGCGTCTTATACCATACATAAATAGAAAAAGACATCCATTCAGAAAAGAGGAAAACGAAAAATGATCAAGTGTCAAATATCTGACTCTATTGTCTAATAGTGATTATTTTTTTAAATAAATCATAAGATGCCATGGTACAATATCCTTCGGTTCCTACAAGAAAAAAACTTATCTGCAAATGTAGAAATCGAAATTCTTGACTTAATAAGGCTTTCATGGTTCTACAATGTACTGTGTTCAAAGAACAAGATAAAATGTTGGAAATATTTGTATTACTATCGATGTAATGGGAAATATTCCATCTTGGGGTGTGGGTGTGGGTGTGGGCTTAGATCAAATCAACAGCCACAGCCACAGCCACACCCACCCACACCCCACACTGTGGGGAACCAGGCGGACATGACCTCAAGTTGTATTTTCCAAAGTCTAAATAATGGAATGAATACTTCTATGGTTAGTCTATCTTACCCTAAAACTAGATTTTCAGAAATCAAGTCACACGCTAGGAAAGTCCATCGTCAAAAAAATTGTTGATAAATCGGTAATTATACGGATACCATTTTTTTTGTCAGCTTATCAAAGTATTTTAAAATGAAAAACTATTTGGAACGAATGATTGACCTATGAGCTTTATTGTGTGAAAAAATTATTTCGTTTGAACCAGAAATGGAATAGTAAAAAACTAACTACTGGGCCGAAAGTGGGTCGAAAAATCGGTCATACCGTATTTTGTGGACGCTACAAAGAGTTTTAATCCAATTGAGCTGAAATTTTCACCGATTATTCTCGCACGTTTAATGTATCGTTGATCATAGCGCCGTATTGAAATAATGAACACAGGCCGAGTTAGAGGTATTCCAAAAAACCAGGTTTCTGCCTCGGAATCGCTAGTTTTGCGAATATGAGAACATTTTGACGCAAAACCAAGGTGATATTCAAAATCAGCTCGTCGAGCTGCATCGAATCATATAGAACAGTATGTGCTTCTGAGAAATATAGTCGGTTCCTAGGAACCGACACGGTTTTGAAAACCAGCCTTTCCGTATTTTGTAAACGCTACAAAGAGTTTCAGTCCGATTGACCTCAAACTTTTCCTGATTGTTCTTTCATGTCTGATGCGTTGTTCACCATAGCACCATCTCGCGCCAATGAGCATAGCCGGCGCTACGAGTTTCTCAAAAACCTAGGTTTTTGGCCCTAAATTCCTGTTTTTCACAATAAGCCATCGTTTTGATGCAAAACCAAGGTGATATTCGGACTCAGCTCATCGAGCTGCATCTAACGATATATAATAAAAAGCCGTTTTTTCGAAAAAGTTTTTTTGACCCTTATTAAGGAAAAGCTTAAAAACCTAAGTCATCTCGTGTTTTTCGAACGCTGCAAACAGTTTTCGTCTGATTGAGCTCAAGTTCTTATTAATTGTATACTTCCATGTTAGTTTATCGTCGGCTATGTGTGTCGTATCGCTTCAGTGTCCGTAGACTGGACAATGGATTTCCAAAAAACCATGATTCTCGCCTAATGTTCCTTTTTTGCCTTTAAAATAGCATCTTAGCGAAAAATCAAGGCGATATTCGGAATCAGCGCGTAAAACTGCGTCGATTGATGTATGATAGAAAACATTTTCTAACAAAATAATTTTTTCGAAAACTTTGGCTGAGGTACCCCACAGGTGTTTTTTGGCAAAAAAGTTGTTCTTCCAAAAAGTGGTTTATTTCGTTAAAGACGATTTTCTAAGTGATATATAACCACTTCTGAGCTATAAAAGACGATTTTAAAGCAAGAAAGTTACATGTGCGCCTGGTATGCCGAAGTTCCCCACTGTGTGTGGGTGGTGTGAACATGGAGTGTGGGCGGTGTGAACATGGAGTGTGGGCGGTGTGAATATGGAGTGTGGGTGTGGGTGGTGTGAATATGGAGTGTGGGTGTGGGTGGTGTGAACATGGAGTGTGGGCGTGGGTGTGGGCGGTGTGAATATGGAGTGT